CAGCCGTTACAGATTTTGTTTTTCAAACGTCGTTTATTTTTCTCTTTCATGTTCGGCTTCCTCTCTCAAACTTGTATGTCATTTTAGGGGTCACGGTGCTAGAAATACTCAAGTAAAAAAAAACATCGACGATGAATGAGATGAATACCCAGACAGCTTCTCAAAGACTCGGTTCATCAGAATGAAACAAATTCCTCTATCTCGAGATCTGCCACCATTAGCCCGACGCAAATGGTTGTATTTGAAAGCCGGGAGAATTGCCGATTCGAAACCCTGGTCATGAGCCCATTTTGCCCCACGAATAATCGAAACACTTGGGAAAAACGATTTTCACTTCGAAAATGTTTTTCGTCGGTGTGTCATTAATCAATGGGGCACAATGGGCTCTTGACCAGGGGTTGGAATCGGAAATTTCCTCGCTCATCCGATGAGCCCACCCTCATTATTCAATCTCTTCAGGCTTCCGAGATAATTGTATAAAACTGAACGGTAATTTGGATCCATCTATGGAAATGTGAAAATAGGATTGTTGCGCCCTTTTCTTGATATTTCCTTGTGATTTCCACGGTATTTAGCTTGATTTTGTCTGACATCTCGAGAGATTATTCACATGAATAGCGAGATGATGATGTTAATTATTGATTATTGATGTTGCGAGGTATTTCGGGAAGTAGTCACATGTATGGCGAGATGATGATGCTAATTATTGATTATTGTTATTGCGAGATTTTCATGTATATCATGTGATACCGCATGATCATGCTGCACGATATTTCTGGGAGATATTTTTCAGAGACTTTCTATTGATGTTGGCGAGCGATGATTCATTTGATTTTTGAGTTTTTCTTTGCTTATTAATTTTTGGGAAATTACTTGACGAATGAACTTGATGATTTTCACGCTCCTGTTGTGAGATTATCTCAGTGTTTTCTCAGGGATTATACATATATTTATACATGTTTGTGTCTCATGTGCTGTATTGTTTTGTGACTTCGATGGGCACATCTGCCTGAAAATCGGAATAAAAAATCGGAACAAAAATTCAAACTGCTTTAAAAACGTTGAATGCACCGAGTTTTCAGAGTTCGCGTTACAGTTGGCGATACTTTCAGTTTGCAAAACGCCTCCTGGCTGCAGCTGTACGCTGGCGCCAGACTCCCGCAAAACGCGCGTATGAAACACGAGAAAACAAAGAGAGTTAAAACGTCGTCCGGTAATCCCCCCGAAAGCCGGAGAGAGCAGAACAAACCGAATGAAAATAGATGCGGGAAAGTCACGGTATCATACCAATTTTCCCGGGGTGTCCCCACTTATTGGAAGTAAACAAGGGGGACGAGGGTCGATGACAAAGGAACAGCATCAGGATACGTGTGGCTTGCATACTCATCACGAGAAACAATTATTATTCAAGAACAGTAAAAAAAAATTCATTTCCTCGGTGGAAATTCCTCTCAAAAATTCACATCGACTCTCGTATTTCTCATGCTTCTTCTCGTAAACAATCACTCTCTCCGTCGTTACATAGTTGGAGAAATTTCCTATCCAAAACCCCGGTCATGAATCCATTTTGCCCCGGCCACTCCCCCAAACTCACAAAAACAAAACTTTCCCCTCCAAAACGTCTTTTCTCCCTATTTCCTACAATTTCGAGGTAAAATGGATTCATGACCAGTGATTTGAACCGGAAATGTTTCCACCTATTCAATGGGGTCATTTTCGACCCCAATTCTGACAACGATCAATTCCAGAAAACTAACAATTCTAGTTCATCAATGAAAATTGGATGACATGCGAATATTTCCTCTATCATTCTATAACTGGGGAAATTTCCGATCCATAACCCTGGGCATGAGCCCATTTTGCCCCACGACTTTCCCCAAGAAACAAAATCCAACTTCTCCCCGCCAAAACTGTTCTTTTCACGTTTTTGTTCCCAACTGGAAGTTTTGTAATAGCTCGTATTTAATTTTCTAATTTTTTGCGTAACTAAAAACTAAATATCATTTAAAATTCCATGATTTTTTCCATGAATATAGACTTTAGTAAGCTCTCTTCACGGAGAGAAATGTTCAGTAAAAATTACGGACCTCTCAGTTCACTCACGGATTACGGAATCGACACAGAAAATTTAAGTGACGGTATCGTAATTTTTCACAAGAGATTCAGATAAAAATCACGGAACGCTCCGGAAAAACTCCGTGACAGTTCCGTAAAATTTCCTACAACCACATTTCGCTCCGGAATTACGGAAAAGATACGTCATTTTTATTGAATATTTCTCTCCGTGTTCATCGACACCAATTAAAATTCAATTTTTCATACAGATTCGAAAAAATTGATATTTTTCCAAAAATCGATTTTCCAACGATCACTCAAAAAATTATCATCAAAATGGAATTAGTGATGGCTCAAAAATTTGATAACAATACCCTCTTGATTCTATCAGAATATGATGGGGGTCGCACAATTGGTTGTTGAGTTACAGCCCACTGTTTATGCGATTTGAAAGAGAAAATTGGTTATTTCATGATTACTGAAAGAATCATCATTAATAGCAATCAAATGAGGGCTTGTAAAGTATATTTCAATGGCTTCTTAATCAAGTTGAAAAATTGTGAGAACAGCATCATTGCTTATCAAGTTACACAATACCGTCATGAGCTTTTTATATAAAAATCTCTATCTCTATTAAACTCAGGTAGCAGTCTGTTATGTTGAATACTTATTCATATTGATTCATGGTCACGACTAACTTCTGACAGAACCTGGGTTAAACTCTGGCTAAATCCTGAATAAACCCTGATTAAATCCCGGGTATACACTGATTAAACCTTGATTGAACCTTGATTAACCCCGGACTGAAAACGAATTCGAGTCTTGAGAGGGTCTGAATGCAGAATTATTTGACAGCACGAAATAATCCCCAAAATTTTGATGACCCTTCAATAAATGATAGTGTTATGCATGAAAAAATAGAAGATGAGAATAGTGAAACAAGAATTAAAAAGCAAGAGAATCCATTCGGTAGCAAATTCATCACCAAATGAAAACGAAAAATCTATATTAGACCGGAGAAATTGGACGAATTCGTTGGTAAATGGGAATTCATGCTGAATAATTCGACCGCTTCTCGTGTTATTTTATTCCTCTCACCAATGAAAGGTTAACCCGTTCCTTGAAGAAGTCTGGTCGAGTCCAGTGTATTTCTGTATGCAGTTCTTGGCATCAATGCCACGGCTCTCGACATTCGTAAATTCACCGCAGTGTGGCGCTGCATTACCCCCGTTACAACGTTCACGATGAAACATTCAGTGAGTACAAGATAGTCGTGCGTTCGCCTAGCCTGGCGAACGGTTCTCACGCCAGTGCATTTTTCCAATCGCTCATTCTGCAGTAATTTCGTTTTAATCCGTGACATTCTACATCGATAAATACAGCGTGTGTGCTAAATACCTGGGATTGTGCGTCATACTGTGTAAAATCAATGCATATGTGATCAATTATAAATATACAATCATCAATAATTGATAACAATAAGCAATAATTGAATAACGAAACGAGAAATTGAGATTTTTAATTAATTAATTGATGACAGAAATTATTTTTCGAATTATATTGCTCAAAAATTTTGATAATTGAAGGAATAATTGTTAATAACTAATGATAATAAACAATTATTAAAAAACGAAACGAGAGATTCAAGGAAAAGAGATTTTAAACTATTTGTGGCTTTTAGTGAATTATTTAAAAAATTGTGAGTGACGATTGAAAACATATGGGATTAAAAATAAATAATCATCAGTAATTAATAACAATGAACAATAATTGAAGAACAAAATGAGAAATTGAAATTTTTAATGAATTAATTGATGAAAGACATTGTCTTTCAAATTATATTACCCAAAAATTTAAATGATTGAAGAAATAATTATTAATAAATAATGATAATAAAAAATTATTGAAAAACGAAACGAGAAATTGAAGGAAAAGAGATTTAGAACTATTTGTAATTTTTTGTGAATCAATTGATAAAGGGAATCATTTAAAAAATTGTGAGTGACGATTGAAAATCTATGGGATTAAAAATAAACAATCATCAATAATCAGTAACAATGAGCAATAATTAAATAACAAAAGAAGAAAGAGAGGTTTTTAATTAATTAATTGATGAAAGAAATTATTTTTCAAATTATATCGCTCAAGAATTTCGACGATCGAAGAAAGAATTATTAATAACTAATGATAATGAACAATGATTGAAAAACGACACGAGAAATTAAAAAAAAGAGATTTTGAACTATTGGTGATTTTAGTTAATTAATTCATGAAGAGAATTGTTTAAAAAATTGTGAGTGGAGACTTTATGAATAACAATTATCACTCAAGAATAGCGTTTCGAGGATCGAAGAAAGTTGCGAAAGTGAAAAACCAGGAGATTATTTAAATAATTGCGACTGCATTCATTTTTTAAGAGCGAAAGAAGTGGATAAATTATTGCTTTCGCCTATTTCCCATGTCTCCCCGCATTCTTTAGTGTTTACTCACTTTATCTGGACTATAAACAATTATTTCACCACGTGAATAACAGAAATTAACAATAATTATCACCAATTAAGTACTAAAATCACCAAAAAAATTATTAAAAAAACAATTTAAAAAATCTATTATTACAATAATTTTAACTAACGTTTCGTACTCTCTATTGCAATAACCCCCCAAAAACCAATTGTTTAAACAACATAAATTATTTAAACTATTAATCCCCAAAAAATCACAAAAACTCCCCAAGAACCCAAAATAAGAAAATAATCCAAAACCCCCAAAAAAACATAATCCAAAAAAATTATTCTCTCCCTCTCCCCCCGTTGATGTTCCCTCCATGC